TGGGGGGGGGGGGGGGGGCACAACCTTGAGTGGAGAGAGGTGTGTTGGAGAATTTGCCAGAATTAGAACACCAGGGGTTTTAAATGCTGTTGAGGAAGTAGAGAAATTAAGAGCGACACATCCTGACAAGCAGAGTGAGAAGACTGCAGTTAATTTGCTGCATACACTTGCCACCCATAGCATCCTTGATATTATGAAAAGTAGGTCTGAAGTGGCACTACCCCTTGAAGGTCATGCAGATCAAACAGTAATTACAAGCGAGCCCTGATGTTCAGGACTTTAACTAAAGTGCTCTACGCATATGTATGATAGGAGGCACATGCGAGAAATGCCTTCCAGTAAACCGTCACAACTGGCATGTAAATACTGAAGCAGTCTGACCCTTAACATCATTGTTGATAGGCAGTGGCTAGATCTGTTTAAGGGCGTGCCCCGATGCTGGCGACGTACACTGTACGTCGTCAGTCACGAAGGGGTTAAACAAAAAAAGTTGCAGCTGGCACTGGGGGACCGAGCAAGACCTGTCAGTGAGCAGTTGTGAAAAGGGCCTCCATCAGCCTAGATGCTGCAGTGCCGTCCGTCCGTTTTTTTACTACGGGCGGACGGCAAGAGGTTAAAGAAGGTGCACCCTTTACCAGTATAGTAGTCAGTATTAAAGACAAGACCTATCCAGATCCACAGTGGGGAAATTGACTACTTCTAAACAAAATCCTAACTAACCCGATATGCCAGCAGGTTCTTAGGAGGGTGAACAGTTGTGATGCGGGTGCAAAGTGGAAGTCCTTATGGCTTTACAGGCACTACAAACATCCAGTAGATGCCTGTAAAGCCACAAGTACTTCCACTTTGCACCCGCATTCACAACTGAATGCGGGTTTGAAGGAGTCTATTTTGGCGCTTGTTGATTCAGTGTACACCACAAGCGCCAAAATAGACTCCTTCAAACTGCACTGGAGGTAATAGCTGTAGACTCCCCATGGGGCAAGCAGACAAAGATGTGAGTGACTCAGAATCAGTCTCTGCCGCTTATAAAGCTGCAGGTAAATCACATACCGAATCGGCTGGAGGGGGTGCTAGAGTATGTTTGTGGCCTTTGATCAGTCAAAGAACTGGGTAATTAGGGTCAAAGGCCTGCATGACCATGGTAAATGCCTCATCTTAGATGGATCCCAGGATAACTCCAATGTGGAAGAGACTCAGCAGAACCATCATAGGCAAGCAGTCCCTAAGCCCTTAGTAGAACTGGGGCATCTGGTGCAGCAGGACTGGACTGCCCCTTCCCATGTCTAAAACTAGACTTGTTGCAGTGCAGGCAGGAAACCTACAGACTGCAGGTAGGAGGCAAAGCCCAATCACTCCAAAAACCCAGACAGCTGAGGGCAGGTGGGGGGGTCTGCATAAAAGGTGCCCACACACCTTGCGATAATCGCGGGAAATCCCGCGATCATACTATTATCGCAAGGTGTGTGGAAGGCGTGAGAAGGTCGCACGGCTTTTGTCTTTGGAGCACGCGCACACTGCCCGTTCAGCATTGCGGTCATTGGAAGCCCACCCCTCAGCGGGGCGGGCTTGTGATTATCACAAGTACGATCTGCCTGTCCAAGAAAGGCAGATCGTACGTTTAAATTACCTTACAACCAACCATCGCAAGACAAAAGTCTTGCGATGGTTGTAAGGTCTGTGGCCAGCATCAGGAAGGTTGATTGACAGAATACCAAAATCGCTGTAGATGGAAGTTTAAATATTCCTGATGCCCATGTGGCTCTGTGCAACAGGAGCAGCAATGGAAAAAAAGCTTAGTTGATGCTGTATGGCGGGTAAAGAGCACTGTGGACACACTTCACTCAGCAGATGAAACAGCCCTTCATTTCACAACAATAACCCATTCTATGGCAAATCCCAGCAGTGGCACCAAGCATTTAAAAACCATGAGGGAGCTTTCAGTGCTTGGTCCAACCAGCCTACTTACCGAGTCTTAGGAGACAGTGCAAGGGCAACCTAGTCCCACAATATCTAGTTCAAATGGGTCCGCTGCAGTACTCTCCAAAAGCCAGGGGGAGGATGACCATACCAGAAAGCTGCAAATCAGAGGGGAAACCGTCAGCAGCAATGTAGTGAAGCCCTAATTAAGAATAAAAGTGCTAGGAAATCCGCTAGTCTGCAAAACAGAGCTGAAGGAAAGATGTACAATCCTCCTAGGAGGAATGCTAGTATTACAATGGCAAATGGCTTACGTTTGCCAGTGTCCAGTTCTTCTGTAGGTTAAGACTTCCAGTGTCCCTAAATGGAAAAGAAAAAAATTTGCCTTTTTATACACTAAATTCAAGGGGCACTTGTTGGTCAATGGAAGTTTCTACCTTCTGTCCTAAATTTAGCTGAATTGAGCATGCTGCACCTGCGATATAAAATGTGCTGGGCCTGGGCAGGTGGACACACACAATGCTGGGAATGCAGTCTTTGTTCAAACCGGATGATAGGGATTGTGGCAAAGCCTGCAAATTACAAAAACAAAACTGTTCCTGGTAATAGGTATGCTATACTAAAGGAATAGAAGCCATTCCCTTTACAAAAGGAATGTTCATAAATAAAGCTAAGCCCAAATGCACTTTATTAAAATCATGTAGCAAAATGGGTACTCTGGCAGTAACAGCAGAGTTTAGGCTCAAAACACAAAGCTGCCAACTTGTAATTAGCAGCGTTGTCACCCAGGATCTTCAGGAAGAGACTTCGCAACTGATCACAAAACAACCTGCTTTACAAAACTTTACACAGTGAAGCACGATGCCAAACATACTGAAATAGATTTGGGGTTTATATACATTTTTAATTGTACAGTGAAAGCCAGGATTGACGTTTCAGAACACTACAGTCACAAGATGGGAAAACAAGAGACTTTAACATTTGTTTATTTAAAAGTGGACATGAACAGCAATACAAACCGAACTACTGCAGAAGTTCACAACCTCTGAGACAATCAAATGCTCATGATAGCAGTTGCTGTCAATGTAGTATTCTACAGATTTATTTTTTTAAACTTAAAGTGCAGTTTGTAAAAAGTGCAATACTTCAGACTTGGAGCTGAAGTTTTAACTGTCTCAAACAATAGTGATATGGAACACTTTGCAATGCCTTTTAGTAATCGATTCAAGAAAATTTACACCGGTGATCATTTGTGACCAACCCACAGAACTTACTACTTTTACAAACTGTAACACAGACTTCTATAGCTTAATAAATTAGATAAATATTTATTGACCCGACGCAAACCCAAAAATTGGTCCCCAGTTCTACAGAAGGCAATCATGGATCCAGGATAAGTGCTTCAAGTTGCTTGTATACTGGTTGTGGGAAAGTAGCATTCGCCAGGTGCTAGAGGCACCATTCAAGGCTTGTCCCTCCTGGCTCCAGTCCTACCAGTGGTTCCTGAAACACTACAAGAAGAATGGTGTTACACATAATACACATACATGATTTTGAACAGAAAACATTTTGACACGTGAAGGAAAGGTTACATTTTCCATGGAAACCCTGTGCAAGCTAATGCCAGTTTAAAGCAACAGGTTTGCTATACAGCAGACACCAAAAAAAAAAAAATTAATCAGTAGAGATACGCATAAATATTGGCCCTAGAATTATCGCTTTCTCTGGCTTGCACGACAATACCAAAAACATGTGTAGCGGGATCATTTTGTACATAGGCGCATCAAACGCGTGCGAGTGAATGAGCTTGCAGGGGACTTACATTTTTTTATATATATAATTTACATATATATTTTTTTAAACTTTTTTTTAACTTTACTTGCCAACACATAGGAGGGCACTGCATATTGGCAGTGACAGGTCCTCTTTAAAGGCGATACTGGGGGTCCAAAAGACCTCTAGTATCACCTTTTCACCTTAAAGCTATTGAAAGTGCAGATTGCACTTAAATAGCTTATCGCTCGGCTTCAGTAGCCCAGCAATGACTGCTCAGGGACCAGAAGCGCTGCAATCCGCGTCGCTCCTGGTACCACAGAAGCGATCTGGTGGCAGAACTTTTTCTTGGGGCGGACACTGAGGCACAGAGGCAGCCATAACTGTTGGTTTATACGGTTGCCTGCAAAAGGAAAGGCCACTGGCAAAAAAAACTATTTATAGGCCAGCCCTGAATAACCCCTCCTACAGCCGGCATGTCAGTTTTATAGCAAGCAGTACAAAAAATCCTATTTCTCTTTCGTTCATTGAAGGACAAAGCGGAGATCTTAAACTCTGCACCGATGGGTTATACCGCCACTTTGCGCTAGGCACAAAAGCTCGGGTCTGGAGGTGGATCCTGGTGGTGGCCACACCCCTATCCAAGGCAGCTCAGTTTTTCCTAGCGTCAAGGACCTATCTTCCTGCTGGGGATCTTTGTTCCTTTTTTTTATACCTTCACTTTTCATTGATCTTCAAATCAACAGACGAGCTGGGTGACAGGTTGGATACGATAGACCCTTGTAGTTTTCCCAGCTTGGCCATCGCGCACATGCAGTTCTCTGCCTAAGAAAGCAATATCAGCTGCTACAACCCTGAGGGAATGTGGGGAAGCCTATAGGATCTCAATGGGAAATGCATATGGCTGACTGGCCACTGGGCTGGTTTGTAACCACTTTTTCCTATGACAGAGCAGCACTGAATCAGTGGCCACTAAGTGCAGGTACCTGCTTCTGAGGTGGCAGGTACCCAGGCTGTCAACACAGAGGACACAGCAGCTGCACTTTGAAATGACTCATTTCTCTGGGGGTGGTAAATCTTCTGGGACACAGTTCATCCCTGGTGGGTTCAGGCTTATGGAGCATGACGGACCCTGTTAAGGGGAACATTGCTGGTGCAGTGAGCACTGAGGTGGGCTATGCAACTTGTGGGCGGGGAGTTTATCCCTCTGGGCTTGTTTCCACCAGCCTGCACGTCTACCTCAATGTCCCGTGCCCGGAGCGCAAGGGATCGCATATAAAGTCTCCTTGCATTTTGAGGCGTAGCAGTGCCATTCAAGTCAATAGCACTGCAGACTTAAAAAAGTAAGAGAAAGAAAAAATTCAATTTCCCAGCTGAATTGAGGATATCCACCCTTCTGGACACTAAAGGGGGGGGGAGATTGTTGGTTGTGGCAGAGATCATGCAGAGGCCTACAATTTTTTTTGCCAGTGTCTAGCCCTCCTGTAGGCAGCAGCATAACCCAACAGTATTTCCCTTCCTGTGTCCTTCAAAGGACAAGAAAGAAAATGGCTTATAAAAATCGAAAAAGGTTGGCAAAAAGTACAAAATTCATACTGTGCATCTTTAGTAACACTAGTTGGTAATATTGGACAAACATGAAGAAAAAAGGGTTCCCACTACTTTCTCTTTCGAAGTACAAAAAAAAAAAAAAAAATTAAAACTGCTCAAGTCAAAAACATTTACAATGAAACGTAATCAGAACATTCTAGCCAAATCAATAGGCCCATAGCTGAAAAGTAACATTTGCTCTGATCCGAGAGGCAGATTAGTGGGTAGATACAGAATCTGGACATGTTTCAAAATAATAAAGTTACAGTTGCTCTATCAGTTCATCCTTCCAGTGACAGAGGTATGGCTTGGCAATAAAACTGATTCACTTCCTTGTCCCAAAGCATCTACAGAATCTGCTTTGGTAGCCAACTATATTGCGACACCCCAATAATTAAAAGAACTATGGGGTAAGTGTTTTTCTCCATAGTTCTCCTAAGGGTCATGCGAGGACACAAAACTAGCGTCCTTCCGTGACCCAAAGCTCAGTATACCGCAAGCTACAGCTCACGGTATACCGAGACCGCCACAGCCGGGACGAATCCCGACATTACTGTCGAGATCCACCCAGCTGCGTGATTGACAGCTGGCTCTGCCTATCTAGAGGCAGAGCCAGCTGTACCCTACCCCATACATTCGGCCAGTCAGCGCTGGAGGATCGGAGCGAAGAGGGGGAATCTCTGCAGGGAGCCGTGAGTCACGGCTCTCTGCAGGGACATGATCGAGAAGTGAGTGAGCGACGGTATGTGTTCGCTCACTTCCCGATCTATTAAGCCAACGTGTGACATTTTCATTGTCACACGTCGGCTCGAACTATGAGGTTGAGTGAAAATCACTCACCTCATTAGTTCTCTATAAAAGATTGCTTTACACCTCAGGGTGTTGCAAAAATGTGATGCAAAAATTACCATGTTGCTTAGCTTTTTTCACTACCAATGGAATTACAGTTCCTGGGAATGTGCAATTCTGCAGCAGCGATCTGCCATTTAAAACCAAAAACCCTTACATGCATGTTGCACTAATTACCAATCGGTCAGACTATAGCAATTTGGTAGAATTAACTCACTGTTGATATCGTAGACAGACTCTGGATCCAGGAGCATTGGTGGAGGCAAGATTAGGTGGTCTTGAGGCCACTCTACATTTGAAAAAGTAAATGAGTTTGGTTCTGGTGAGGAGTTGCTGCTAGCCACTGTATCCAATTCATCAGTGCTGGACCTGCGGCATAGAGCACAGCTGGCTGGAGTCACACCAGGACCTTTAGGAAAGAGATCTTCATTTCGAAGGTAACTCCTAAGTGCACCACTATGGTGTACTGGACGGTCACGGAGCCATGCCCAATAAGAGGGTTCTTTAGACATCACCTGCAGACAAAAAACACCCTTTTAGCTTTACAACTCATTAGGAGAACCAATAAAGACTTGTTTATGAACTTGCCTCATCGCAGCATCTCCTGCTCACAACTGCTCTGTATTTCATTCTGGCCCACAAGTTGTCCCGAAGTTGTAGAAACTGGGGGTATCTGTCTCGCCATGTGTCCCCCAAAGCCCATGGAAATATTTCATACTTATAATCTTCTTCATCCTCCTCCATGTCATTTGCAAGGTATCTTGAAGAAAACCCAAATATAATTGAGATTTCTTCACACTGTCTTTGGGGCCACCATTTTTAATCAGTTTATCTGAACATTAGAGACATCAGGACAATTGGTAAACAAAAAAAAACAAAAAACGGTCTAACAAACCAAAACCACACCATATCAAACTCATATCCCCAAAATGTGCAAGTCAGAAACCAAACAGTTAAGATTTAAATATCATGTCTGTGCTAAGCAGGCAGAGGTACACAGTGAGAAGAAAAACAGTCCAGTTTAAAAACACACCTACATTCCTTCTAGCAGATTGTGTCCATGTAACAAAAATCCAATTGAAAGTCTAGCTGGACGCAAAGCAGGATGTGGTCGATCTTAGAGCAGAGACTCCAAAGGTCATCATGGCCTGGCTTAACTCTCAAACCAAAAAGCATGTTCTGTTAGGGACAGCTTTCTACTATAGGAAATGTATGCAACTACAGTACCTTGGCTAAACCCCTGACCAAAAAAAAAAAGACTACCCAAGCTAGTGTCTTTGACAGTGTGACTTGGCCTGGTCTTCCAGGCCTTAAAAAGGAGGCAGTGCCCTGTACGAGATACAGATTACACCTATTTGTTTAGTGTAAACCATTACTTCTGTGTAGGGCTGCGGTGCGGTCTTGAGCCAAGTGGGTCAGGAAATTGTCTAGGACTATCAAAAAAAGTATCTTGCAATTGTGTGGGCACTTCAGCACACCACTCAGACCCATTGCTTGGTTGTGTTAATTCTGTAAAACGCCTTTAGGGTGCTGAAAAGATGTCTGCAATTGTCAGCTGCAGCTATTAACTTTAAAACAATGAAGGAATGGCAATAAGTTATGAGAGCTGGTGATCAATATCAGATTGGCTTCATGTATAAGCCATAGGGAGCACATGTTCGCTCCCTATGTTAAACCAATAAAGTGTAACAAAAAATTAAATTTCGGTGCGGCATTGCATGACTGACCAAATGTCAAAGTGCCTCAGCGCTGAATACTGAAAAATGGACAGGACAGGAAGGGGGTGAACACCCCTGTCTTCATGTGGTTAAGAAGTCCAACTGATTAATATCACATGGTGGGCCCAATGCTTGGTGGTCCCGTCGGATATGTCAAGACTCTGAAGATCATGTGAAATACAGTGTTACCCCTTGTGGAACATCTAGTTCTGGTCTAAAGGCTTTAGAATAGTCTTTACTGAACATATTTATTCTGTAAATCGAGGTTGTCTTTTTTCTAGGTTGCATTGAACATTTAAATGAATAAATACAGAATTCTTAGAAAGTTGGTCAGCTTGCTGTGGATAAATCTACTTCAAATTAGTACTAGGTGCCTGCACAACCCTACACATTGGTTTCCCAGCCTTAAAATGCTGGCATATACTCAATGTGTTTGGATAACTGGGCTCTTGCTGGTAAGGTGGTGGAATTTAGAACAGCCAATCATAGTACAGCTCAATGAGAAAAGACAAAACTGACCCAATTATTAATTAATCTAAAAGGCTCTATTTCCAATAGCTGAACCACCAATTTGTTCAGAAATTGTTGCAGTTCTGATTTTGGGTGTACAGTATCCCCAACTGCATATTTACCAGGGCTCACGGCAATCTAGCAAGGGAGCACATTTGTCAGTGTGATCCCGGTCACCATATAAACAGGCTGCAATAGCAAGTGTACATGAACATCTTTGCATGCGTCAGCTTTCTCAAAGACCCCAGACTAGTGACTTTTGGAAGGGTCAATTAAGGTGGCTCTGATTGCAAGCATGTACAAACTGCATCCACAGGGACCCAAATTAAAGGACACCCAAGTGTCCTAGGCTAACAGCACAGAGCTGGAGGCACACCCTTCCTCTTTCCTCAGGTAGAGCAAAGGAAGACAGGAGAGTCATAGGAAGCCCTGTGGTCTGAAATCTCAAAGAAATCAGTCATTTTCCCTAGAACATAAAACAATAAAATAGCAGTAATGTCCTATCTAGACAAGGAGCTCGAGGAGGGTGCAGAGGGAAGGAATAGGAAGCAAAGCATGGGAGTGAGAGATGGCGTCCCCAGAGTAGGAAGAACCCTCACCAGAATCAGTCAGATTGTGTGGGCCCCATCCAGGCATCTCCAGTCTATGATCAGTTGTGTACCCCCAAAACCCACAACCTGTGGGTTGAGTAGGGTGCTTGCATCCAGTCCCATGCAGGCAGAAGGTGACTGAGGTGTAGGAGAAGTGCAGTGTTGTCTCTTGCCGTGTCGGTGCAGAGCTGCAGCAGTGTGTTCAGCCAGGTAGAAAGTGGTGGGCGCATGTGCAGTATAGTATTGGGAGGAGACTGGGTAGGTGCAGCTCCTAGACCAACCAGAGAAACCAAAAACTGGCACCAAAATTTAAAAACTGCTAAGAGTGTGACAAAATGTTAAAGCGAATCCTCAGATTTAACCCTTTAGAGAATTGGGTCTACCACAGGGGTACGCAAGGGCATGGCCACAGCTTACCCAAGCTTCTGGTCCTCCCCAAGGATGTGGCAGTAGTCAGGGAAGAAAGCTGAGGTTTGTCCTCTGGGTGAAGGCTCCACCTATATGGAGCACAGCCCTGCAACTGTGGAGCACCCTGCAGCCACACCTCATGCTGCACAAGTGCCAAGGCAGGCACCAAAGAGGATCCAGTGACCAAGCACATTACAGGCAAGCCCCACAGCTTCTGTCCAGCGCGACCTGGGGGACTGTCTGCCAAGGCTCAAGGGGGGAAACTGATCCAGATAGCTGCTGGAAGCATTGCAGTGGTTTAGAGCAGCAGAAAGAGTATTTTTGAAATTAAAAATTCAGCTGACACATCAGTTTGTTTACCATGAATAGATATTTCCTTTATAAAAAAAAAATTGAAAAATATACTCACAGAGCAACAAAGAAATTCATTGCTGTATATTCTCTGAGTCGCAGGCCTGCACGTTTGAAGTATGCCAGAACCATTGCTATTAGATACTGCATGGGGGAGAGAGAAAGTAGTTCAGAAAAATGTTTAGTTTGAACAGAAAATAAAATCTGAAAAAAAAAAAAACACAAACAAAAAAAACCCCACAACCTAACTAGTAATTTGGTTACTAGAAACGTTCTTCCTTCAGCCTCCCCATCGTCCGTGTAAAACAATCAACACAAAGATAGACAAAAGTACAAGATGAGAACATCTCTCAGTATATTGCAAGGTGTCCTTGGATGTGATAAAGCCTAGTCTTCAGTTTAGGACCATAGTAAGCAAACTACATAGCCTGATCAATCCCATCTTCTAATGGTAATTTTAAGTGACTGAGACGGACACACACACAACTTTGGTGACCATTAGAAAATGAATACATATTAATCAAATTGTTTAATCATTCGATTAGAGCATGGTATACAAACTCCTGGTTGTATAAGCTCCTGGAAATACCTTGGGAACATTAGATTAAGTATGCATCTATACAAATATATAAATTTAAAGTAGAAGTCTGGACGTTTGCCTTAATGCATTCTCTGCATCAAGGTAAAAACACCCAGTACCTTTTGTATCCCCCCCACAGTTACCTGTGAAGACTTGTCACTGGTCCCCAAAGCAATCCTCTGTTCCCCCAACTTTCTGGTTGCAGGGAAGGATACCATAGACTCCTGCTGTCAATCTGTTGGGAGGAGGGGCGTCCCCTGTCACAGGGCTGTGCGCGTCTATGGACGCACACATCTACTTGCGGGCACAGCTGGGAACACACGCACAGGTGCCTCCACAGCAGCCACTTAGATGATGGAGGCACCTGCGCAGGTGGCAGGAGGGAAAGTGACACGGGGACCCACTAGAAAACAAGGAAATTACATTTTTTTACAGGATTTATACAAGTATGGCCCTCCGATGTGTAAAAAGAAATCAAAACTTTAATCTCCAAGTCAGTTCTGCAGGTCTTTAAAAAAAATATATTTTTTACTTGGCACTTGTATAATTATCTGCCTTTATATTAGCCACCCATCACCTTTTACAGCAGCACTCCCATAGGGAGACCTACTGGTAGAACTAGGAGCCAAATCAGCCTGGTTGCATATACAATGTGCAGACAGCAGGAAACAGTAACCAGGAAGCACAAGTATTGATTGGAGCACAGTAGTTGTGATTGTAGCGGCTGCTGGAGATCTGGACTGTCACCTTCACAGACCACAGCGAGCTGGAGCTTCAGCCTGCTGCTGGCAAAGTTTAGAATAGGGCCGCATCAAATACTCGTTGTTCCGGGTTTTGACTGCATAAAAAGTAAAATATACAATTGGGCTTAAAGGCCTGTGGCGGTTGAGGCCAGACTGAGACAAGAATGCAGACTTTTAATCCAAGATGTTCATTCTCATGATCGATCAACATCAAGGATGCATGGAGACTGAAGAGGCTGCAGGTCCTCATACACAAGGGCAGCAAAAACAGGCAGCTCAGTCACTCTTTACTGCCCCCAACCACCCATAACCCAATATGGTATCCATTTGGGTATGGACAAACAGTTGCTGCATGGTATGCATTGCAAAATACCCATTAAGTAAAGAAAACTAAACCGACAAATTCGCCTCGAGAACACAGATAGTCAACCATCTTCTGAAAAGCCATCCAAGCTGGATACAAATGCAGTGCTCTGCAGCAAGGACAAAACAGCGCAGAACTGTTTACAGAAGCAGCAAGTCACTTCCCCTTGTCTTAGATACTGGCAGATTCAGATGTGTAAGGCTACCTTTATAAACCCCCAAATTCCTCTATTCAGGCAGTTATAAAAGCTTTGTGAACTGACCCCCAGTTTGTAAAGATCCTCATCTTTGTCAAACCCACTTCTAGGAGGCAATTGTTTTACTGAGGGGAGAAGGATCTTTACTTTAGCTCGCAAGTTTTCAAAACTCAAGTCAAAATTAAAGGTCCTTCTCGTAGCATGTTGGCAGGGGACAGTTTTTCTTAAAGGAGAACTATGGGGTTAAGGCTTTTCCCCATAGTTCTCCTTAGGGTAACAGGAGGACACAAACTAGCGTCCTCCCGTCACCCTAGGCTCAGTATACCGCGAGCTACAGCTCGCGGTATACCGAGACGCCGCAACTGAAGCAGATCCCGACAATTGTGCCGGGATCCGCCCAGCTGCGTGACTGACAGCTGGCTCTGCCTATCTAGAGGCACAGCCAGCTGTACCCGCCCCCTCCCCCGTCCGTTCCGCCAGTCAGCGCTGGCAAATCAGAGCAGGGAGGGGGGAATCCAGCCCCTCCCCTGTCACGGCAGAGAGCCGTGACAGGATCGAGGGGTGAGCGAACGCCGTATGTGTTCGCTCACCTCCCGATCTACTGAGCCGACATGTGACAGTCTCATTGTCACAGGTCAGCTAGGACTATGAGGCGAGTGAAAAGCACTCACCTCATAGTTCTCCTTTAAGAAACCTAACTGCAAGACTTTGCACAACTTGTGTTTTGTTGAAAATGCAATGTATTTAGTCAATTCCAGTACAGCTGGGCCTTAGCAAACAAGACAAGCCGTTACTATGAAAACTATATGGAAAACAGAACACTTGATGATTCCCGGTACATTTAAACCAACCTTGTCAGAGATCTTAAGGCAAACATCCATTGACAGGAACTGCTGAACGATGTCACAATCTGTAAATTTAGATGATACAATTTACTTTCTCAGCATTACATAGAAACCAAAGTAAATTACTACAAACTGGTCAAAAGATTCCGACAGCAGACCTCTCTCCAACCTACGAGAGGAATCACAGGTTGCTTAGTGTGAATGGAAGATCAACCTGCCTTTGAAGCCGAAGGGTAGAACTATGTGGTGGAGCCATGGCAAATCATAGTGCATCATTACTGACTGGGTAAAAAGATTCACAGCAGACCTCTCCAACTTCCTACAGAGAGAAATCGGGTTTCTCTGCTCATTAGCCTCAGGGAATGGAAGATCAACCTCCCTTTGAACCCCAAAAGGTAGGAATAATGTGATATTGGAGGAGACACGGGAATCAAATACAGGAAAAAAAAAAAAAGGTGAAACTCGATTAGAATATCGTGCAAAAGTTCCTTTATTTCACTAATGCAACTTAAGGTGAAATATTGCATGTAATGAGTCTATCTCATATATTAGTTTCACCTTTTAAGTTGCATTAGTGAAATAAATGAACTTTTGCACGATATTCTAATTCAATTTTCACCTGTAGTTTAATTTCCTCCTTCATGAAAGTCCTCACAGATGTGTCTCAGTGAAAAAGCACACAAAAGCCTTACATTTGAAGGTCCAGGCCAGCTTTTACACTCAGAGGCTGAACAAGAAGTTTGCCGTCTTACAGATCTGCTCCATTAATGCATGCTGTACCCAAGCGCCATGGTTTAATGATTTTTTAAATCATACTGATAGGCTTTTACGCATGGGTATAACAGACAGCAAATGGATCCAATTGGATTTTAAAACGGACAACTACCCCCAAAGACTGGTCAAGTAGATACTAGATATTAAAAAAATATACATCTTCCAACACCTAGGGGTCAATTTATAAAGGTTTTCAGATTCTAATTGTGAAAGTGTGTGAATCCTGGTTGAAGGTTATTATGCAAAAACATTAATAGCCCCGCAGCATATTAAACATTCTAAAACTAAGGAGTGGCAGCTGAGACAAAAAAGGTCTAAACTGAAGATTAGATTTAATTTAGAGCTGCAGCTAACGATTATTTTCAAAATCGATTAGTTAGCCGATTATTAGGTTCGATTAATCGGTTAATCGGATAAACAATAAAATACATTTTAAAAAATGGCTCCAGTGATGGACTACTAGTTTGTATTGAAATGGGACTCCATCACAGGAGCAAGCTTGGAGCTGTGGAAGTAAAAAAGAAAGAAAATAGTGTGGTGTGCAATATAGTGAAAAGGAAAGTGTAAAATGATAGAGCAATGAATGCAGAATGGCACCGGCTATAGAGGACTACAAATCCCAGCAATAGTATATTATACAGCACAATGCAGAATATCACCAGCTATAGAGAACTACAACAAATCCCAGCAATAGTACATAATAGCTGGCGGTATTCTGCATTGCGCTGTATCATGTACTGTTGCTGGGTTTTGTAGTCCTCTATAGCTGGCGGTATTCCGCATTGCGCTGTATAATATATTATTGCTGGGATTTGTAGTACTCTATACATCGCAGTGCAGCATATCACCAGCTATACAGGAATACAACGAATCCCAGCAATACATTATAGAGCACCATGTGTGGGAAAGTGCAGGCTTAGCTGAGCAGTCTTCCAGCAACTTGCTTTTGGGATTGGACCTGTCTATTGGTGGCTGTCATCCCCCCACACCTGCTCCTCCTTACTACATCTCCCCGCGTCCCTGTGCCGATCGTGGATGTGGGCGGGCAGTGAGTGTAAGGCGGGGAGGAGGTGCGGTGTGAAGAGCGTGGATGCGGGCGGGTCTGGCAGCGATGAGCGTGAGGTGATGAGGAGGTGCAGCGCACAGCGTGTGTGGAGCCGTGAACAGGGCCAACTGATCGGAAGACGATTAATCGATTATTGAAAAAGTTGACAACTTTTTCAATAATCGATTATCATCGATTATGTCGATTAGTTGTTGCAGCCCTAATTTAATTTCCAACAATGCTGCTGTGAATTTTTTTTTTTGCAATCTGTGCATGTACGGTATATATAAATCATGGGTGTGGAAATTAAAAAAAACAAAAAAAAAAAAACACTACTTGTCCAAGGGCTAAAACAGGGGCCGAATCTACAATCTACTTGTGCCAATACAAACAATAATTTGAAATCAAAACTAGGGATGCACCAATATCGTTTTTTGGGTATCTAGTACCAATATTTTGCTTTCGGTACTCACCGATACAGAGTAGCGAAAAGCATGGAGCAGGCTTGCCGGGCAATGGGTAATGAAATTCCACCCGGCTTCCTGTTAGAGGCTTCGGGGAAATAGAGGTCTGAACAGACTCCAGATATTTCCCTTTTACAATAAAGAGATTGAGGACACAATCCTTAATCTTTCTGCAGCCCCAGCAGTGAATGAACAGGAATCCTCTATACTGTACTGAGTGTTCCTATTCATTCATAAATTGTGGACATAGTATGAGTTTCTATGTACACAGTCATGAATAAATAGGAAGTGATATAGATCACTACCTATTCATTCATAACTCAGTGATAGCCGTCTCCACCCACACACCACTGGTCTCCTGATCTGTTACAGGAGGCTGAGCAGGGCGGTGCAGGAGGAGAGCTCAGCATCCTGTGACACGCTCACAGAGCTCTCCTCCCCACCCCATTGGACGCTGCACTGCATCAGAGGGGACAAAGGGCAGTGCACAACGGGAAGGGAAGAAACCATGGATCCACCGCAATTTCAGTCGAAAGATGGCACTCTGGCATTTTGCCAAAAGTGCATTTTTGGCCGATACGTGTTGGCGTATGAAATTTTGATGCATCCCTAGTTTTAACCCTTCCCCTTACTATATCAAAAACTACGAATAGAAAAAGAAAAAGTTTTAGCTATAAAATACTACATTAGTTTACCAAAACTATTCCAACAATGAAGATGGCATGGTAGGGGGTTCAAGCAGAACTAAAGTCCGCAAGCGGAGCAACCCCCACAAGCCTCCTAACTAGCACGGACATCTCCCCGATTTCTTCCAGTTGACAGGTCTTCAGCCCACATGGAGAATTACATTACTCCCAGACATGCACACCGCCTGAATCACTTTTACCTGAAAGTAAAGCAGCAAGGAAGCTGCTGAAAAGGACCATAAAGTCAACGCCGCAGGAGCAACCATGAGCTTGTTTTAACCAATTGAAGTCCATAACTGCCCTAAGGATATGGCTTCACAGCTTCAAGGCTAGCAGTTACTGCACATAGGTCATGGTCACTCACATGTTTACTCCAGACAGACATTAACAGATCTCCATGTTCCTTCCTAAAGGGCCTGAAAGCTTCTTTCATTTTATAACCAATAAAGAACTGGGATCTGATTTGTTACCATTAGCTAGACATTTCTTTCCTTCAGTACAAACTCCAGACACAACAAATAGTTTCTTACCCAAGAGCTGGTAGAAGGCCTGGCGTTCATGAGGCTGGAGGCTGATTGTCCTTGCCACCTTTGTCCTGGCTGCTGGAACCTCTCTCTCAGGGATTCGCTGCCTGTGCGCTCCAACAACCCTTGAGTGCTGATGTCCCTTGACGGTGTTCTTCACCCCGCTGCCAGCGGTCACTGTGGCCCGAGGAGAAGCATGTACATGTCTCATGGTGAGATAGGAGGAGACACAGACTTGAGGGTTGATCTGCAAATTAAGGTGAAGTCGCCGGCAGTAAAGTGTATGTACACCCCAACAACGAACTTCTCTTATTAGCTTTCTTCTTGGTCTGTTAAATATACCATATACATGTGATACATTTGTTAAAGCGCAAAAGAATACCTGTTGAGTTTGCCAGAAATCTTATGAACTGAACTTTCTGCACTCTGCCTCTGCTGTGTTCTCATCAGTTACTGTTCCCAGCTATCTCTGGACTACAGAGCCCCTCTCCCCCCCCCCCCCCACTGCACCAACAGTTTGTACAGCTCTTTACAATATAAAGACATTACAATCACAATACAATTCAAGGCAAGACATTAAGGAGGGCCCTGCCCTCAGTGATAAGGAGAGGGGGAGATGTTCTGTAGACCTTTCCTAGGGCAACAACAATGTTCCCTTAGACAGTACGGTGAGTATCACCCTAGGACAGGAAGGGTATAACCGTCAGGATCACCAGGTGAAGGCTAAATACATTTGACTAATAAAACCAATCACCACATCCAAGGACTGATAAGTGCCACTAAATTACATTTTTGTTCCAGGTTTAGACATGCAGGAAAGGAATCTGAGGGCCCAACCTTAATTATTTAAAGGGGCCCTATAACCATACAGCAGGCATTTGCTGCCAGTGCAGCTTCTCCACCGAGAACCTGGTGAACCATATCCGGTTCTCTAAGGCAGTTCTTGACCACACAGCTTCCTGGACATAAGCCTACTTACCTTCTGTTGACCAATCAATGAATTTGGCTGAATGCCTGTTAGATGTGTCCCTGTATTTTTGTACCACATTTGTGCGAACGTGCCACTGGTGACTTGATTTTGAAGGTGTATGGTTTTTAATAGGTCATCCATATCCTTCACTACTTGGCAAGTCACTAAACAAGCACAGCTATACCACATGTGAGGCCCCCTATGTTTTGTGTCACCAACACTAAATAGCTTAGGATAAGAAAGCAGCCATGAAGACACCTTCAAAACTCAAGTCAGCAATTGCAGCTTGGACACTTCTAATTTGGCAGATGCCATGTAAAGAATCATCTCCAATGTGGGATATCAAGGCCAAGACAGAACACCTCCCTTTCTACTGATACATTTAAAGATACCTTGACCGGGTAACAAGACTCCCAAATGAAGGTACCTTTTAGGGCAGGGGTCTCAACTCATTTCACTCGGGGGCCACTCAACAAATGTATTTTCTCCCATGGGGGGACTCTTGCCAAATTTCATACTTCAAAATAAAATGTAACTATATCCAGTATGGTACTACGGACACCAATACACACAATAAGGCCCCATTCATACCTGTAAGTTTAGGTGCAACTAGGGATTGCGTCAGGAACTTGCATTTTCCTGCAGCAGGAATCCCTAATTACATGCGGCAGCTGTCACCCATTCAAGCTAATGATCAGGTGGCAGCAGCTGCATGTAAATGCCTGCATACCGCATATAATTGTATGTGATATGATTACATGCGGGTAGAAAGCACTTTCCCTGGATGCACAATTGATGCATCCAGGGAGAGCGATTGATTTCTAACCAAATACCATTACATGCGGTGTACAGGCATTTACATGCAGCTGCTGTCACCTGATCATTAACTTGAATAGGTGACAGCTGCCGCTTGTAAACACCAGATTACACATTCCTGCTGCAGGAAAACAAGTTCCCGACGCAGGAATCCCCAACTGCACCTAAAGATACACACAAAAAGAAAATACATTCCCCACATATAAAATTATAACCTCCCCCCCACGATAAAAAAAAAATACAGAGCCCCGTGCTGCACACCTTAATACATCCTTTCGGCCGGAGTTCAGAACTGAGCTCCAGCCGAAAGGATCTCCGTGCAAGAGCAGCTCTGCATCTGACAGATGCAGACCACGTAGCTGCTCCCGCAAATCAGGTACTCGGTCCATGACCACGTACCTGACTTGTCAGCTGGCCACATAGTACCGACTTATGGGCTGCAATTGGCCCGCCAGCCGGTACTTTGAAGGGAAGAGCCCTTCTCCCCTTTCCATTGGCCCGTGTCTCCGACCCTCCCTCAGTTACAGCACTGCAACATTTTCCAGTCTCTTCAGTATTCTGAAAAGGTCAGATGCCATTGCCCTCCTGCCAAGCACTGTGGTTTCATCCTCTGGCTCCCCGTAGTATTGAACACTTGGAATTTCAGATGCTTGAGTCACCCTGCTGTGTACGGTGGTTCCATCCTCTGGCTTCCATGTCACTGCTGCCGAGTCCTGTAGCACCTGTAGACCTCAGGGGACACAGGTACACGACACTTCCAGAAGGATCCAATGTCGAGGGACTGCTGGAGGCAGCAGTGCTGCAGAGTCACAGGCATCAGAGAAGCGATTTGAAGACTTCTCTTGTTACTAGGTTTTTTATTACTCCGACAGGGGTGATCTAACCATTCCATTAACAAAAAGCAAAATAATAATAATCGTTAATCATGCTTCCAAGAGATACTCTACACTGCAAGGTAAAGCGCATCAAAACATAATGTATTATATTGCAGCCCAACAGGCCTTAAATGTGGTGGCTGCATTAGTGTTATTTTTTAAGGCTTTTTCCTTTATTTTACCGTCTGATCCTGCCAGTAACACTTCCTATCCTGAGGCGACAACAGTCACAACACTAACTTACTGCTCTGCAAGTATGGAGAAGGTGTTGAAACCCTTGGCTGTTCTGGCTTGGACATCTCCCCCTCCCCATTACATGGAAAAGGGTGGGGTGGGGGCGGGGAGCAGGGGCCATGGATTTGTAGTTTACAGAAGATGGCATGGAAGGAAGATGAGGTTGCGATTTTAGTTCAGCTCACTTGAAGTGGGCAGGACATTGCATTTCTGGAAAGAACAGGTATCTTTTGCACTTGCATGAAAAGAACAAAACGCAGACACCACATCGAAGGGTTAGTGAGCTGTAAGGCTGGGTTCACACCTAGGCGTATCGAATATGCGCGTTCGTACCGCAATTCGCAGTAAAAACGCGCACGTTTCCGAGGGCTACCTGGCTGTATCCCAATGGATACATGCGGCAAATACGCCCAAAAGAAGCTCCTGTACTTCTTTGGGCGTAGGCCGTTTTGTAGCGCGTTCATACGGCCTGTAATACGCCCAGGTGTGAAACATACCCATAGGAAATAATGGGATTTCGGTGTTTGAGCGTTTTGCAGAGCGTAGTAAGGCGCTACACAACGCCCAGGTGTGAACCGGGCCTAATACATGACATTGTTGCTCTTGGGTTCAGATACACTAGCTTTCATTTTTCAGCCTTTTATACCCTATTTTTTCACCTAGGGATCCTGCATATACCGCACTACCTGTGCATTCAGGTATACACTTTCTCCTTTATGTATGGGGACAGTCATGGTCATCACAAAAGCTAGACATCAAACATGTCTTCCTTTGTTCATCTCCATTGCATGGTGGCTTGAAGGGATTAGTAGTTTACACCATATCCGGTTCTTTGTGGTTTCTTTTTAGCTCACAGTGACAAGGACACAGCATTTCTGGCAGGATCAACAGGTATTTTCTGTACTTGCTGAAAAAAAGGAAACTGGTACATCCACCACATCTAAAAAAGGACTGGTCAGCAGGAACATATACATTTTTGTTTTTAGGTTTAGATACACTTTAAGCCTTTAGGCCTAACCTACATTTTTTTTTTTAACATGCAAAATCCCCTCTCGAGCTGATGTAAAGTTTGCTTTAAAAGTTAATTCTACATATATAAATAGGGTGCTGCATTGAAGGGGGGTCTCATCTATTTTTTTAACCCCCCCTTTGTTTGCTGGTTTATCCTCAGTACACATACTTACACACCTAGTAAATCCAGTGGTCATTACTCCAATGCTGCACACACCAGGTCCAGCTCCACCATCTTGTATGCATTTATCAGGGACTGGCCATCTCTTCCTGGTTTTGGCAGCCCTCCCCTCTCCCACGATAATGCACATGTGCCGCCTGTCTCTTCCTGGTTGTGGCAGTCACCCCCCAATAATGCACATGTGCCACATCAGGGGCTAGCTGTCTCTTCCTGGTTGTGGCAGTCACCCCCAAATAATGCACATGTGCCACATCATTAGGGCCCAGCTGTCTCTTGCTGGTTGTAGAAGTCACCCCTCAATAATGCACATGTGCCAGATCATCAAGGGCTGGCCATCAGAACCAGGAAGAGACATCTGGCACCCTGATACCACGTGCATTTCCAGAGAATTACCCAGAAGTCCCTTTGGATGCATGACAAGCATATACCAAGCGGTGGGGGGGTACATCCTTCTCACCTAGGAGACAAATCTAGCAGTGAAGAGCTCGTATGTGCATTTTTTTCTTTGAAATTACATTAAAAGGAGGAGAAGGGAACCAATTATTATAAAAAAGTGGGTGCATCAGGTGAACCCCCAACCCATCACTAGTCATAGAGCAAACAAACAAGTCCCCCCTATAGACACACAGCTCCCATCACAGTAGCAAACATGCTACCCCAACCAGTACCGAGTCCGCCATCCACACACACAGCTCATCGGTGATAACGTGTCCGCCAGCACTGATCCCTCCATACCTGGTACAGAGAGGACGCCACACACCCGCTCCCGCCAGAAAGCCCGGCGGTAGGTGGAGCCAATGACAGTACCAGCAAGCAACAGACTAAGCCAAGGTGAGTACTTTATAGGTGAAAGCACATATGCGGTCGGAGACGCCACATCGCTGCACTCCATATACTTGGCTCATCACTGACCTGAGCAGAGGACACACACAGCCGGAACGGCAACAGGTGGGAGAGTATCCAGTATGTCGCCATGCCGGTCCTTATATAGAGCCGCCAATGGGCGGACAGCTGGAACGTGGGGGCGGGCTGAGTGTCGGATCACATCAGTGATTGGTTTGATGATTGTGTTGATGTTTCCATGAGGAACAACATTATGGTGTTGAAAAGGAACGGGACACGTGTGATTGGATGGCTTCTGTTGTTAGAGTTGTATCTCCCAATGTGTAGTAATATACAGGCCGTGGTATCATAGCCTGAAGTCTGTATTGAAGAGATAATATACAGGGCCCCCCTCTGCTCCAGGCCCCAATGGGCTGCTATGGAAGTAGTTCCACCACTGCCTGCTGTGGTTCTATCCACTAACCACTACATCACTACAGGAGCCAGGGGCTGGTGGAAGAGGTCACAGAGCAGGGGACCAAGCATCCAACCTAGCCAGATGATAGTATATTGCAGTATGTATATGACTGCCATTTACTGGCTCACAGCTTTTTACTTGTGGCCACACAGAACTGTTGTGCCTCTGCCTCTATCTTGTCCCCCTGCCAGGCTTGCACAGTGTACTGGCACTCAGCAGTGGAGTGATCTCCTCTTTGGCTCTGACGTTAGAGCTAGCAGGAGCTGATCCATAGAGACAGTGCGAGAACGTGTTCTGGAGGTACCACCTGCCATCTGATTTGTCATGGGGGATGGAGGGCAGGTTATTGGATGACATAAAAGTTATATTCTCTACACTTCCACAATTTTTTAAATCACTGGTGTGGCAGTGTTATTTTAAGTTATATTTACACCGCCACACTAAAGAAACTGGGGAGACAGGTGTTGCTTATGTGTTTAGATGAAGCACTGAGATCTTGAGGAATGCGGAATTAAATTTTACTTGCTTATAAGGACAATACATGTATGTATACACCATCATGCAGGAAGCATAAAAGATAAAACCTCCTGTATACCATACATAAGTAAGCACTAGAGACTAACCTTGCACTATACTGCCATTTACAGCTCAAAAGATAATATTACACCTCTATATGTCAGTAATACAAATCAGTGTATGCTGTTGTATTTCCAACACCCCTTCTCAACAGTATATGCGTTGCTATATGACGTTTTGCTTCTCTCGAAGGAAACTGTGACGATCCTTTGGCAATGGCTTGGTGAGTATGTCCGCAGTCATTTCTTCTGATGAGCAATATTGCATGTTGATAAGGTCTTGCTCTTGAGTGTCCATCAGCAGATGATACTTCACATCGATATGCTTGGTTCTGGGGTTGACCCTTTCTGATTGTGTCAGCTTTATACATCCTTGGTTGTCTTAAAAGATTGGGATGGGGTTTGACATGTCTACACCCATGTTCATTAAAAGCTGGCAAGTCCATATTGCTTTTTGACTGTGTGCTGCTGCTATGTATACAGCTTCAGTTGAGGAAAGTGCATCAGTTGTTTGCTTTCGGCTAGACCAGCTTATGGTTCCTTCTCCAGATTGGAAGATGTAACCATTCGTGGATTTGCGATTTGTGCAGTCTCCAGCCCAATCAGTATCCACATATCCAACTAGTTTTGGATTTGACGCTGCTGGCAGTCGTAGCTTCATCTGAATTATTCCCTTTAAGTATTTGTCTTACTCTCTTTACTGCATTCCAGTCACGCTGACATGGTGCTGCGACTTTTCTAGATAGTATGCCCACTGCTGCCGCTATGTGGGGTCTTGTCACAGTGGCAATGTATGGTAGCTTTCCAAATGCTCTGTGTTACATGTCATTGCTGGGTAGCAAGTTTTCTGCTTCTTTGCTCTTTTGGTAGCCTGGTTCCATGGGTGCTTTTACTTCCTTTGCACCTTGCATATGGAATTGTTCCAACATTTCTGCAATTTCCTGACTTTGGTTGAGAAGATAGCTTCCATCTTCTTTCCTCTCTATTTGAATTCCCAGATGTTTCCGAGCTCTTTGATTTCAAAGTTTTGTTTTAACTTGTGAACTATTTGACTATAGTCCCCTTCTTTTTCAAAACAGGTTATAATATCATCAACATAAATTAGTATGTACAGTATGTCCATCTGTCTTCTTGATGCCTGAATTAAAGACAGGGATCAACTTTTTTCTCCATTCAGATCGGCTTCTATCAGGTTACACAGCAGGGAAAGCCTCCCCGCTCTGTTATCTGTCATGGACAGAGCGCTGCCTGTTAATTACAGGCAGCGCTGCATCCGGCTTTTGACAGCAAGTTAGGTTACACAGCAGCAGGCTCACCCACTGCTTGTGTAACCTAACTAATGAGGCAAGAGCTGTCACAGCCTCTACTCTATGTTAGAGGCGTGAGCTCTGTGAATGGCTTGGACCAATGGCAAAGCGCCATTGGTCCAAGCTGTCCAATCAAAAAAAGAAAAAAAACACCACTGAGGCCATCGATCTCGATGCCTCAGCAGTGACGAGCAAGTGAGGGACAGGGAGGTTCCTCCCTGTCTCCTCCCTCCTTCACACTGGCTTGGGGATGGGGCTTCGGCGGGCTGGGCTTCAGCTGGCTGGGGGTGGGGCTTCATCGGGCGGGGGGTGAGGCTGGGGAATGCCTCACCCGGAACTAAAGGACCGCACGTCACTGCAGGGATCTGCTTTGCTTCTTGAGAATCCCCCTTTCGTGAGTATTTCATTCACTTTCTCATTTCCCATTCTTGCAGATTGCTTGAGTCCGTAGATGCTCTTGTTCAGTTTACACACTAGGTTGTGTCCTTGCTCATACCCCGGTGATTGCTCCATGTAGAAATCTTTCTTAATGTATCCATATAGGAAAGGGTTTTTATCATTTAGGTGTTCCACTTGCATGCACTCCCACTGTGATGCTAAGGAGTGTTCAGATGCTGGAGTGTTTTAAGACTGGAGTGAATGATTCATTGTAGTCTTCTCCAAATTTCTGGGGGTATCCCTTGGCAACTAATCTGGCCTTGTATTTGTGGATATCTCCTTCTGCATCAAGCTTCACCTTAAAAGTCCATTTGCTTCCCATAGTTCTGTGATCGGAGGAAAGCTCTGTGAGTGTCCAGGTGTTTTTTTCTTAGAGTGATTGTATTTCTTCTTTTGCTGCCTGTTTCCATTGACTGGCTTCGCGTTTTGGTAATTTTTCTATGTCTTTGCACGATGTTGGTTCAAGTATGCCATGTGTCTTAGCAGTATATGACAGCTTGCAGGGTGGTATTCCCTTTGTTGCCCCAGTGGATCTTCCAATTTCAGGTTGTTCAGCAGAATTTAACATGGAATTTGACTTATCCATTGTGAGTTCCACCTCTTGTTCAGACTCCTGTGCAGCTTCACTTTGCTCATCTTCCTTTGCTGGTTCACTGGTAAATTTTACTTCACAGCTCCCCGGGATCATTGTTTCTGGTGATGGGTTCTCATCAAAGTAAACACTGCAGGTTATTGTCACTTTGTCAGTCTTTGGGTGGAGGATTCTATATCCCTTACTTTGTTCCCTATAGTCCATCAGAATACTTTCTGTGGCTGTGTTCTCCAATTTCGACTGCTTCTCCTTTGGAATATGAGGGTAAGCTTTACATCTAAACACTCTAATGTGCCCCAGGTTAGGCTTTGATCCATGCCACATTTTGAATGGGGCGCTTTCAACTGCTTTTGAAGGTAGTCTGTTCTGTAGGTATGTTGTCATGACTGTTTCCCCCCGGTACTTCTTAGTAGACATGTGCAATTTGTTTTGTTTCAAATCGAGCATCTGGGTGCCCCCTTAATTAATTTTTTTATGTCACTTTGCTGCAACGAACAAACGAAACAAAAATGAAACGACAATTCGTACAGAATACCGCTAACGAATTTCATCCGAATCCCGAAACGAATTGCGTTTCGGACCCGGATCCCAAAAAATAAAATAACGCAAAATCCGAATCAAAACGAAACGAAACAATTTTTTTGCTGGTGCAGATGTCTACTGCTTAGGTAGGTTGGCGTCTGATAGCATGCATCTGGCCATTTCTATAAGAGTGCGATTCTTCTGTTCTGCTGCATCAATTTGTTCAGGAGTGTATGGTGTGGTGATCTGGTGTACTATACCTTGTTTCTTTAGATATGATTCCACTTCCTTACTAATGTACTCTCCTCTGTTGTCCGTACGTAAAATTCCTGGTTTCCATTGGAATTTGTTGTTGGACATGGCTACAAACTGTTGAAGTTTTTCTGATATTTCATAGAAAGTAGTAAGTCCCTCTGCACTCCTCACAGCGCTCCCGGCCCAATGTAATGTACTTCTTGGTTTGAGTTGGATACTCAACTGCGGAGTAGGAAAGGGAAGACGGGACTCAGTATATGATTCCTATTTAATACTCTCCAAATGTTGTTCAATGGAGGTTGGAATCAATCACATAATTTCTCGTCAGTGTGGCTATTTTCTATGTCCGTTCTAGTGATGCAGTATAACACAAGAACGTAGGCTATGCAGCACAGTAATATAGTGATAGTATCGTTCTACCTCTATGAGTGTATGAGAGGTTGAGGTAATACAATCCAACAGCAATTTACTTTAGCACAACTCTAATATGAGTAGGAGGTTATACAGGCAATGCACTTCAACAGTAGTAGATATCTATTAGCATAGTACCAATATGAGTATGAGGGTATGCAGGTAATGCACTCAGCAGCAGTATATATATAAGCACAATTCCAATCTGAGTATGAGGGTAATGCAGGTAATGCACTACGCAGCAGTATATATATAATCACAATTCCAATCTGAGTATGAAGGTAATGCAGGCAATGTACTCAGCAGCAGTATATACAGGTGAAACTCGAATAATTAGAATATCGTGCAAATGTTCATTTATTTCACTAATGCAACTTAAAAGGTGAAACTAATATATGAGATAGACTTGCAGCAGTATATATATAATCACAATTCCAATCTGAGTATGAGGGTAATGCAGGCAATGCACTCAGCAGCAGTATATATATAATCACAATTCCAATCTGAGTATGAGGGTAATGCAGGCAATGCACTCAGCAGCAGTATATATATATA